TGTACGAGGACAGCAGGACGTGTACGAGGACAGCAGGACGTGTACGAGGACAGCAGGACGTGTATGAGGACAGCAGGACGCGTATGAGGACAGCAGGACGCGTATGAGGACAGCAGGACGTGTATGAGGACAGCAGGACGTGTATGAGGACAGCAGGACGTGTATGAGGACAGCAGGACGTGTATGAGGACAGCAGGACATGAAGGATGACAGCAGGACGTGTACGATGACAGCAGGATGTGTATGAGGACAGCAGGACGTGTATGATGACAGCAGGACGTGTACGAGGACAGCAGGACGTGTATGATGACAGCAGGACGTGTATGAGGACAGCAGGACGTGTATGAGGACAGCAGGACAGCGGTGAGACGTGCTGTAGGAGTGAACTGAGCTCACAGCAGCAGTTTACCTGCGCTGGGCTCGTAGGTTTCGATCACCATGTCCCCCATGGCTCTGCTGCCGATGTGCTGGTTGAGGACGGCGGCTCGGTCCGCCTCGCTCCTTCCGCTCAAAGTGCGTTTGGCTAAAAGCAGCTCCTTCTCCTGCAGCTCCTCCTCTGACAAGCCTTCATCTGCACACAGTCGGCAGCAGCCGCAACCACCCCCGTTACCACAGCTCAACATGGGAACAACAAAAACACGACGCTTTGTCACTGCTGTTAGCGTTAGCTGCCTGGCTAACTTTGTTTTAACAAATTCTACTAATAATATTAATATTACAGCCTTACCAGCGGAGTACTGGAAGCCTTGTGGAAAAGGAGACTGGTCGGCTATTTCCAGACGGACGACAACCAGCGACACACTCATGTATTCACGGAGAAATTACCACTTTGAGCAAAAACAAACAGCTAACAGCTAAGCTAACACATGCTAGGTGCTGAGCTAACAGAAGCGACTGCTCTTCATATCAGTGATCTAAAACCTTAATTATAACAGAACTACTAGGCATGCCAACAAACGTAAACATCACATTAGTGATTATAAATATATATGTGATGTTTATGCATTTGTTTTGCTGCCAATCGTCTCCTGAACTGTGTAAACTTCGGCTAACCTTCTTCTTCGTTGAAACTGAATTTCTTCTTCGTTGACGACAGACGGTCAGACAGCTTTGCTGCCCCCAACTGGTCAAACGACGTCACTGCAGCTCACTTTATTTTTATACTTTCCAGTCAATAAAACTTCATTTCACTGCCATGATTAAAGCTTTCCCAATTATTTATTTTTGTTTGTTGTTTTTTTACTTTGGGGAAATAATTTATTACGGTAGTTAACATTTACAGGGGTTGAAAGCAATATTAGATTTTAAAAGGTTTATAACAAAATAAAAAAGGAAAATCTTTAAAACTGCTAATCAAAATGCAATTTTTTTGAGTGGGAGGGGGTTAAATATGAACTCTGTGGTTCTGATGGAAAAGAAAAAAAAAACACAAGATATAAGTTTAAAAAAAAAACATCTGTTCAAAAAGCATTAAGAAGTTCACAAGTATGAAATGTTCAGCTGAAATCTGACTGTATAAAAACATTTCACCCCCTCCCTGACATTTAATCAGCCTGAACCTTTCCTGTTGTGCATCAGAAATACTTTGGGAACGCTACTTATTTATTAAGTGCTTGAATAACGAAAATTATTTTTGAGAAACCTTTAGGACTTTTGTGACGACACAAAACGAAGTTTACTTTGTGAACAGTTGGTAAAAGTCCAGATGATGTCATGGCTGGGGGAGCTTTTCATTGGTTCATCACCAACACTGACAACCTCAAACTCACTGCTTCTTTGTGTGAAATGATGGAAAAATAAAATAAAATCAGCCGAGACATCAGTACCGCTCAGGACGGAGATGGGTTCTGTGCTTCTCAGATGTTTTGGTGCGAGATGTGCATTTCAACTCCAAAACAAAACGAAAGACCTGGTGAAGAAGCTGCTCAGTCGTTATCCTCAGAGACATGAGTCCTGGAGCAAGACGAGCTGAAAAGCCTCTCCGTGACTCTGAATGCAACATATAAACAGATTAGTTTCCAGATGCACACAGGCGGCGTTCACAGGCATGTTCACCCCTTCAGGGTGGAGGACTCCACCAGCGCTGCCCCTTGTCACAGATTCTGTTCAGAACTTCATGGACAGAACTTCTTGGTGCAGCCGGGGGGTGGAGGGAGTCCAGTTCAGTGGCCTCAGGATTCATCTCTGATCTTTGCAGATGATGTGGTCCTGTTGGTGTCATCATGATCTTCAGCTCTCACTGGAGCGCTTCACAGCCGAGTGTGAAGCGGCTGAGATGAGAACCAGCACCTCCAAATCTGAGACCATGGTCCTCCGTCAGAAAAGGGTGGACCGTTCTCTTCAGGTCGAGGGTGAGGTTCTGCTTCAAGTGGAGGAGTTCAAGTATCTCTGAGTTTGTTCACAGTGATGGAAGAATGGAGCGTGAGACTGACAGATGGATTGGTGCAGTGTCTGCAGTATTGTGGACTCTGTGCCGGTCCATTGTGGTGAAGAGGAGCTGAGCTGTAAGACAAAGTTCTCAGTTTACTGGTCGGTCTACGTTCCTCCCCTCACCTCTGGTCATGAACTCTGGTAGAGACTGAAAGAATGAGATCGTGGATCCAGGAGATTGAGATGAGTTTCCTCTGCAGGGTAGCTGGACTCTCCCTTAGAGACAGGGGGAGAAGTTCAGTTATCAGGAGAGACTCAGAGGAGAACCACTGCTCCTCCACATCCAGAGGAGACAGTTGAGGAGGTCCAGCATGTCCAACTAGGAGAAGACCTACGTGTTTCTGTTGGTCTGGGAACTCCTTGGAGTCCTCCCAGAAGAGCTGGAAGAGTCTGTGGAGAGAGAGGTCTGGACCTCCCTGCTCAAGATGCTGCCCCCAAGACCTGAGTCCAGAACAAGAGGAAGATGATGTATGTATGATGGATGGATGATAGATGTATCGTTGGACGTGTCATTTCTTCTCCTCTGCATCAAACTGAGAATCTTCTTGTAAAGACACTGGACACGTCTCACTCTGCCTACATGACTGGAACTTCAATCGGAGTACATAAATGTCCCTGTCTGGGACGTTTAGGGACGGGGACAGATTTCCACTAAGGTTCACCCCCCCAGTGTCAACAATGTGAGACGTTGAAGGTCGGGACGCTACAGGTGACGTCCAGGTTTAATGAAATCATTTTGTTGTAAGAAAGAAAAATACAATTTCTCATTTACCTTATTTTGTTTTTTATTAAAAACCTTTTAGACATTCCAGTGTTTCTGTTTTCCATTTTCTAACAAGGGGGGGGGGGGGGGGGGGCATGATTCTGAACCTCAACACATCTTCTCTGCAGCCCGACTGTTACCAAACAAACAAAAAGACATTTAAAAGCAGACGTGTCAGTGAGTGGGTCAACAGACTCAACATATGGGGGGGGGGGGGGGGGTCATGTCCTGCTTGTGACAGTCCTCGTCCAAAGTGTCAAAGAGAAGAAAGAATATGAAGAAAGCACCAACAATCATCTGTTAATGATGGAGGAACCAAAGAGCCTTCTGACGTCCTACTGCAGCTGAAGCAAGTCTGTAAGGACCGCACGCTCAAAAGACAGGTCCAACATCTGTCCAACGCCTGTCCTACACATGTCCAACATCTGTCCAACACATGTCCAACACATGTCCAACATCTGTCCAACATCTGTCCAACATCTGTCCAACACCTGTCCAACATCTGTCCAACACATGTCCAACATCTGTCCAAAATATGTCCAACACCTGTCCAACATCAGTCCAACACATGTCCACAAAACGTCTGTGGTTTGAGAAGGCATCCTGCAGCAGACCGACAAACATCCAAGGATCACACACACACACACACACACACACGCACACACACACGCACGCACACACACACACACACAGGATCTTGAGTTGAGTCCAGATGTTCAGCTGTGGTTCTCCATCCATTGATAACTTCCTGAAAGCTTCAATAAAACCAATCATGTTGAAAAATATTGATTGATGCAAAGCAACACACTGAACCTCCTAATTATTAATAACTGAATAATGATTGAATAATTAATTATTAATAACTGAATAATGATCGAATAATTAATTATTAATAACTGAATAATGATTGAATAATGATTGAATAATTAATTATTAATAACTGAATGATTGAATAATAATTGCTAATAACTGAATAATATTGAATAATTAATTATTAATAACTGAATGGTTGAATAATTAATTATTAATAACCGAATGAATAATTAATTATTAATAACCAAATGAATAATTAATTATTAATAACTGAATGAATAATTAATTATTAATAACTGAATGAATAATTAATTATTAATAACGGAATAATGCTTGAATAATTCATTATTAATAAATAATTAATAATTATTAATAATAATAATCTGAATCGGTCCGTCAGTTTGTTCAGAAGCACCAGGGAGGGGACAGTAATGAGGGTTAAAACATGTTCTGAAGCTGCGGCTGCAGAAGAGGCTCAAAGCTTCACAGAATAAACCAAAAGAGAAAAAAAGCAAAATGACGAGGCTCTCTGCCGGCGGCCATCTTTGTTTCCAAAACGTTCACATTTCTAACTTTGCTTTTTGAGCGGAGAAACGGATGAAAAATATTCCTCGTCGGATGAAGGTTGGTCTCTGCGTTGCCATGGCAACAAACGTTGTCTCTCTTTATTATGTACAATAACTTAGCAGGCTGTAAAAGTGGATCCATTCCTCTCAACGGTTTCAGACAGAATTCTTTAAAAGTTTGATTTTATTCGTTAGTCACAGGCTCGAGTCCTCGTAAGAGCTGCACACGTTCCCGAGGGTTGTGTCAACCACGAGGAAATGAAAAATAAAGAAGAATGAAACAAGAGAACGCGACGGGGTCTGGTACAGTCGACACGCAGGGCAGCAAGGGGGATGTGACCGGGGGGGGGGGGGCGGGCTACACGGTCCTCTTCAGACCGGGGGTGACGATGTTCAGATTTTAAGGTTCTTTACAGTTTCTGCTCGTTTCCTCAGCAGATCTGCCACCTCCTGCAGCGAGCGCAGGTAACTGCTCTGCACCTTGTCCATGGCGGTCTTTGTAAACGAAGCCTCCTCCTGAAACAAACACAAACGCATCACGATGGGACACACCTGCACACGCTCACACGAGCGTCTGACTGACGCAGCATTCAATCACCCCCTCGCCGAGCTGGAAATGTTACAGCTTTACATACAACGTGACTTTTACTGAAAATTACAGGCTGACCGATATATCGGCAGGGTTGATATTTTCGGCCGATATTATCGTTTGGGGACGTATCGTATCGGTGATAATTGTCCCACTACGCATTGATTTAAACACTTCTAATGTTCAGCCCTAAAATGCAGGAACCAGCTGTTATTGTACGATGTATCCAGCAGAGGGCGCTTGAAGACAACTTTCAAGTCATGGACGTTCACTTAAGTTTCACTTTCAGCTCAGCCGAAGCAGGGAGCAACACTGTGTAGAGTATTTTACTGACCAGAGCATGGTGAGTTTATTTGAACTGATCTGTAAAATAAATCAACAACAATAAATTCTCTTGAATCCTCCAACCTGCTCGTCATGAGCTTCGTGCCTCTCAAGTTAGCAAGCCAACGGTTAGATAACCTAGCATAGGCTACTGTCTGTAAAACTTTATCCAGAACAACAAATCTAACGTAGAGATAAAATATATCAGAGTTAGTAACGTTATCTTTGTCGTCCTCGATGAAATGCACTGTTTGTCTGAAATCTTTACTTCTCTACAAAGAAAAATAAACTCTGCTGCGCTCAATGCTAATTAGACCTTCACCGTACGTGACTGTTTAATAATGAACAGGAAGGTGTTTCTTTAATTTATATTTTTATAACACTTGGTAACTTCATGGAGACCAGAAATGAAACGTTGCATCGACAGCTGCTTGTAAATAGTTTCACCTACAGATGTTGCACAGCTGCATTTAAAAGGTTTCTGCTGACCTTTCAATTTTCTAACCGTTTGTAGCACAAGCGTTGTAATTTCATATAAGTGATAACACGAACAACACCCTGCATTAATGTAAACATGTTGCTAAACATTATTCCCATTTACTTCAGTTCAGTAGGAGCTGATGTTTCTACAAAACTGAATGTTTTCAGTTCAGGAAGTCAGAACGGCTCAGAAGCTCAGAAGGTGATTGATCTTCTGTTCACCAAAGCTTTGAAATTAATCTGATGAACTTACGCCTGGTTGTTTATGGAATCCCTTTTTAACAACTCAGCTTTCACTCAACGTTCCACACGTTATTAATATCTGATAATAGTGTGAATGTTTATAAACCGTTTCTACACCGAGCTCTCACTTTTCTTCTGAACGCAACTCGTTCCGCCATCTTTGTTCCTTTACAACAAACCCTGCATCAAAACGTTCGGCTCATTCAAGACATTCCTGCTCGCACTTGTGGAATTTGTGCAGTTTTTTACTTTTTTAAATATGTAGCTTTGTCGGCCATGTTTTTCCTCATTGAAAATAAATGGAGCTCTCTTTACATCCTTTAAACCCTTTGAGCTGTTTACAAGCTTTTACGGCTCATTTTAGCCGTTTTGATTCGGCTTCCTTCAGCTCCTTTTTCTCATTTTAGTTTTGTTAAAATGTTTTAGCTTTTTTCCTGCTCCTTTCATTTAATTTAAGCTTGTATTTGCTTCTTTCAGCTTCATTTCAGCTACTTCTCTGCTATTTTCAGCTTTTTGACTACTCCTCAGCTTTTATGTTTCTTTTTCAGCTTCTTTCTAAATATTTCAGTTCGTTGTACACTTTTAGTCCTTTTGTCAATTTAAACTTTAAGCTTTTTTCAGCTACGTTCAGCTGATTTTCATTTAATTTTAGCTGCTTCGTCTTCATTTAAGTTTCTTTCTCCTATTTGCAGTGTTTTTGTGTTTCTTTTGTTTTATTTGATAATTTTGGCTTTTTAGATCCTCAGTTGTTTTTCTCTTCTAATTTCAGCTTATTTCTGGTTCTTTTAGCTTCTTTCTGCTAATTTCACCCCCCCCCCCCATCTACAGCTTCTTCTTTCTACTTTTCAGCCATCGCTGTATGTCAGGTAAGTTTTAGCTTGTATATTTACACGTGTAACTCTATATTTGTCTCTAGGGGAAGGTCTGGACAGCACCAACCTCTGAGTGTCCTTCCAAGGTTAAACTGGTGAGTTTGAGGGCCAATATGTGAACCTCCTGACCCTTTATGTGCTCCAACGTCTGGGTGAGAAGGTCCTGCAAATCCACCGTCAGCTCCTGGAAGCCACACATCAACGCCGGCTGCAAGACACGAGCAACGTTAGCACCGAGTTAGCTCCTTCGACATGAACGGAGGAGGGTGGAGCCTACCAGCGTGATGGTAGACTCTTTTTTCTTCTTCTTCTTCTTCTGTAAACTCGTCTTTAGAGGTCGGAGGATCTTAGCAGCGTAACTCGTCATCCAGCAGACTACGCTTACTGTCTGTGCAGGAGAACACGTCGCGTTTAATTCAGACAGAAACACACAAACTATACGTGTGTGTGTGTGTGTGTGTGGTCACTTTACCTCGACAAAGAAGATTAAAGTTTCTAATAAGGAGGGGTGACTTTTTAATGTGCCTCCTTTCACCTCCAGCAGATCTCCTTTGCATTTACTCAGTATTTCTGTGAAGACAACAGGGAACATCTGCTGTGGAGCTTCAGACGTCCAGGACGTTTAAAATAACAACATCTGTTGGCTTACCCTGAAGCTGAACCACTAGAGACTTAAAAACGTTACAGATCTGAGTCTGGAGCTCCGAAGGCTCATCTGGAAGAGTTCAAACGACAGAAATCAGCTCGGAGCGCTCGTCGTCTGGGTTTTACGTTGCGACGGGTCCTCTTACCGAATCCGGTGGACTCCAGCTCGTGCAGGTGGAGCAGCAGCTGCAGGGCTGCAGCCTGACACTGGCAGGCACCGCTGGACAGAGCCGAGGCCAGGCGGGTGGAGGGGGGGCCCAGGAACGGATACTGTCAAGGACAAACCATCACGTCAGGGTTCTTACGGCTGTTAGGTGTTCACGTTCCACACGATAAGACCGTCCAGATGATTTTTATCATCAATACGAAACCAGCCAGCCAGGCCGGCACAGACCTGGAAACCACCAACAAGTCAAAGACACACTGGAGCCATTTAAAAGAGTCCAGACAGGAAGTCAGGCTTGGATGCTGATTGGCTACATGTCTGTCAGCTTTGTCATTTCTGCACTGCTTCCATGAAGAAGTGACACGTGCTCGTCACCTAGCGACAGATAAATCAGAGATGCTCAGTTGTTTTAGCTTTGCTGCGTGCGGTTCTTTCATTTAGACGCCAGTCGTTTTCTTTGACTCAGTCTGTCAGTGAGGTTTGCAACGAGCTCCAACATTTGGAGACGGGACAATCAGCTGGACCTGACGATCTTTCTCCTTACTTCCTACATTTGGCAGAAGACCTGCACATTTCATACGAATGTATTTTATTGGTCGTCTCCTCACGCAAACGAGAACGAATGAGACGAGAGGGAAATTAAACCAAAGAGGGAAACCCAGGGAGTGCCTCGCAGAGACGCCACGTCCAGAAATAGTCCTCGGCCTCCGCCCGGCGCGCTCTGAGCAACAAAGATGAGCTTCAGGGACTTTTGTGGAACAGAAGTTTGATGTTTCACAGAAACAGATCCGTACTGAACTCAGCAGGGAGTGGATGACACTTTTAAAACTAAAAATGACAAAAATTTAGCCAATTTAACCGACACAGCTCAAATGTAGCACGGGAGTTACAGAAAGTCATCCACATCACAAGATGATCAGTGATGATGATCACAAGATGATCAGTGATGATGATCATTGAAAGAACCTTACTTGTTCTCCTGGATCTTACCGCTGCTTTTGACACTGATGACCACAGCACCCTTATATCGCGGTTGGAGCTGGTTTGGGATTACAGGCGCAGTGTTAGAACGGTTCCTTCTTATCTGAGTGACAGGAGCTTTTATGTTAATGTCGGTAATAGTTTATCTGCTTCAGTGCCTCTTTCCTGCTGGGTGCCGCAGGGCTTGATTCTTGGACCCCTTCTGTTTTCACTGTATCTGCTCCCTTTGGGGTCTATCCTGAGGAAACAGTCTTTTCTTTCACCGTTACGCTGATGATTGTCAGATTGATCTGCCTTAAAGCCCAACAGTTCCTGCTTCATTCACCCTCTGTTAAAATGTCTTGATGACATCAAGGCACGGACGGCTTCAATTTTTTAAGTTTCAACGATCAGAAAACTGAATTCATTGTGTTTAACTCTAGCTCTGCTGCCGTCTCTGGTCCTGTAAACCTCGACTCTCTTCAGCCCCTTCTTAAACCGTCTGTTACAGATGGTTGGATGGTTTTAGACTCTGACTTTAAGTTTAATAAACAGATTAAATCTGTTCTACAGAAAAACTTCTTCCAGTTAAGACAGATAGCTAAACTGAAGTCCGTGTTGACCTGATCTGACTTTGAAAAAGTAGTCCATGCCTTCGTTACAACCTGACTGGACAACTCTTTATGTTGAAGTCAGTCAGGTCTCCCTTAAGATGTTGCAGCTCAGTTCTTAACAGGAACTCGTAGGTTTGAGCATCTCTCAGCAGTTCTGTCCTCCCTTCACTGGCTCCCTGTACGTGTCAGAAGAGATTTTAAAATCCTCCTGTTGACCTTTAACTGCATTAATGACCTTGCACCCTCATGCCTCTCTGACCTACTTCAACCAGATGTTCCTTCTCAGGCACTGAGATCATCTGAGCAGCTGCTTTTGGTTGAAGCTCAGAGGAGATCAGGCTTTTTCAGACGTGGTCCTAAACTCTGGAACAACCTGCCCCCAACATTAGACAGAACACTTCACTTCCTGTTTTTAAAGCTCTCCTAAAAACACACCTGTATTCACCGACGTTTAACAAAGTGTGATCCGATTTATTATTTTAATGTTTGTGTTTTTTAAGTTTTTCTTTAGATGCTTTTAATTACATCTTGTTATTTTGTCTTTAATTACTGCCTTGATCTTATTGTTAAGAGCCACCTGCATCATGAAGGACCTCACTCACCCAGCACACACACTTTTTGCCCCGCTCCCCTCAAGAAGGAGGTTGAGGAGCATTAAGTGTAGAACCACTAGACTGAGGAACAGCTTCTACCCTGAGGCTGTTAGACTCGTGAATCTCTAACCAGAATAATCACATCATGTTGCTGCTGATCTGTTTCATGTTGCTGCTGATCTGTTTTATGCTGCTGATCTGTTTCATGTTGCTGCTGATCTGTTTCATGTTTCTGTGTTCATTCGTGCTCATCTGCTGAAGAGTCGTGAGCGCTGTGTGGCGTGCACCTACGTGCGTTTGCTGTTCTGTGAAGTGTGCTGCCGTCTGGAGCGTGTGGCTGAGCTGAGAGAGCAGGCTGCTGAGGACGGACGTCTTGCTTTCCACTCCGTTCTCGTTAGAGCTCTGAAAGTTTTGAGAGGACGCGTGTCCCAGAGCAGCCAGCGCGGCGAGGAGGCGCAGCGTCAGGGAACGTATCCGAAGCCACGCAGACTCCTCCTCTAGAGACCGGGTCCGGTGCTCGTCTGTTAGCTGCCTGTGAGATGAAGAGCAAGGACAGGTCGGCTGACGTCACGTCAGGTTGGAGCAGCTGAAACCGTCGTCTGTACCTTTCTTTGGGGTCCCAGTTTGTGAAGACAGTCAGGTCTCTGTTGTCCCTTAGACTATCCCAGGGAATGTCGTCCTCCTCTGCAGATACAGACATGGCCTTCAAGCTCTCCTCGAGACTCAAAACTCTGAAGAGCAAAGAGCAACATGTCAAACCAAAGCGTCAGAGCCCCGGAACAACGTGCCCAGCGTGTCTCTTACATGTCTGCTTCCAGGAAAAGGTCCAGCAGCATCCTCTCGGTGCGGACCTGGGCGAAGTGCAGCGACTGGTTTAACCTGTTCCTGAGAGCAATGAACTCTGGGATTTTCTCAAACGCTCCGTACTTGTAGGCCTGGATGATGTACTCTGAGGTCTACGACGTGCACGGATAAACAAAAACGAGAGAGGTCAGGGCAGCGGGATGAGGAGGATCCAGGATCCAGCCCCGGAGCGGGACCAACACTTACATCTTTCTGGTTGGAGTGGAAGAACCTGAGGGAGAAGTTGCAGGACTGGGAGGCAGCGGCAAACTGACCCAGTGGTTCAGCGTAACGTGTCAACAGAAACCTGGAAACACAACAGCACACGAGTGACACCGCCGCTGATGGAGAGGAACGCTCAGAACCTAGTAGAGTGTTGTACAGATGAGTGAAGCAGAGATGTGAAATATGTCTCACTATTGATGCTGCTTCCATGAAGAAACCCTGAAGAGCTTGAAGCCATGTGAACTCACCCGATGGTGTCGTGCTGTATGTGCTTGGCGTCCAGGCTGGAGTACAAGTCCACGACGGGCTCAAAGGCTCCCAGGCGACAGTAGAGGAGCAGCAGCAGCAGCTTGAACTGAGCGTTGGAGGGACTGAGAGACAAACCTTCCTGAAGGAGCCCCAAACATCTCCACACCATGCCCTCATCACCTGCACACGCACACACATGTTTACAGATGTGCTCAGTCAGGGGAAAGGGTTTGAAGCAGCAGGAAGTCTCACCTGTCTCTGTCCACAGGTCGATGTAGACGTGAGCCGCCATGAGACAGTACATGTCAGAGAACTGCAGCTCCGTCTTCAGGCTGCTGCTTCCTGCAGAGCAAACAAGTGACACGCTCAGAGGACCATCAGGTCACTGGAGAACACGTTCAGAGGACCATCAGGTCACTGGAGAACACGCTCAGAGGACCATCAG